GCAACTACCCAAAAGAACATTCGACCAACATAGTTGATGCTAAGGAATACTAAACTAGGCTAACAATAGTAGGGTTCACTTCGCAGTCACTATCAGTGGGGGCAAAGCAAAGAGAACCATCATCTTTCTTGATGATACCGAAACAAACCGCCGGATTCTGCCAAGTCTTGCAATACGATCCCCACTTGGAATCGCGGCACTGAGACATATCATTGCAGACCTCCTGACAGGTGGGTGTGGGTTCGGGACAAGCCACCGGCTCCAACGTGTAGTCATCACAGGTGTCCTGTTCGGTCGGCTGGAAGCACTAACCATCATCCTTGTGGTAGAGGCCGAAGCAGACACCGTTGCCCTTGCAGTAGGAGCCATACTTGGAGTCAGCACAGGGAGAATAACCATCACAAATATCCTGACAATACTCGGCGACGGCAACAGACAAAGCAGCGATGGTGAAAACGACCTTCATGGAGAAGACAAAAATTAGAGTCAACTAAAGAGGGAACTGAATGCCACTTGGACAAGAGTAATGTTAGCAGAATATGTATAATTCAAGTGTCACGAATGCTCTATCGCTTCAGCTGGAACACCTGGATTGAGGTACTTCCTTGGAGTACCTCCTTGTAAGCACCCTGTGCATGGAGCTTCCCGGATGAGTCGGACTCCCAGTAAGGACGACACACAGATATTGACCCGATAGCTAGGAAGCCATGCGCAGGAATCCATGTTGGACACGGCTCGGAGTCACATCCAGCGGCAGCCGTTACAATGAACATTGGAGTGACTTTCGTTTGCCGAAACGGTTATATTGTACAGCAGCGCGCGGTGGAAGATCTATGCCATATCTCTTCGGTGTGCGCGCTATGTCACTCGAAGCGGAGACCTTATCGGAGTGAGCGGTATAACAGACACGCACCCTCATTCCGAAAGGCTGGACAGTTGGACCAAATGAGTTGGTTGGGAGCTGTGTAACACAATTCGCCACTCACTTGAAGTGAGTCACTTTTTTTCTAATATTGTCGGTTTACCAATTGCTAAAATTCCTGACAGTTTCACTTATTTGCTCCTGCGTATATGCCGCCTCCTACATTATAAAGTGCTAGTCATATTCACATTTCAGCAATGACTCGTATTCACTTTAGCAATCAAATATAGAGAGTAACAACTTCGAAGTTGCTTT